GACAGTAGAGAGAATGCAGCTTTAACACATGAAGCTTTGACTTCACTCGGCAGAACCGCTGTGAATGAGCTGCTGCTGACCACCAGCCCGCTGTTCAGCACATATTCTGTAACCAGTGTAGTATTAAAGCATGGTGGAATTAGCAAGCTAGCTGGTTAACTATAGCAGACAGCTGGCTAGTTAGCTGGTTTGCTAATTCCACCATGCTTTAATGCTACACTGGTTACAGTAAAATAGTGTGCAGTTGAGATAAATGTCTAAAAACAATCCGTGCCCCTCTGATTGGTCCTCGTGTTTTGTCTCTATGTTGGACTGCAGGTGAAGTCTTTGGCCGACTCCATCGATGACTCCCTCACCTGCCAGTCTGGTCGCGAAGACTCGCAGGACGCAGGAGGAGACGGAGAAGAAGACGATGAGGAGGACGAGGAGGAGGTAGACGAAGAAGAGGAGGAGGAAGGGGAGGAGGACGAGGAAGAAGACGAGGACGAAGATTACAGAGAGTGCGCGTGGCGCAATACAAACGCAGCTTCCCGACGCGTGGCGGGCCGGCCGGGAGTCGGAGGAGGGAGAGGAGGCGTGAGGGGAGGCGCCGCCATGCATGAGGACAGCACCGCCACCTCCTTCAGCGACGTCACGCTCTACATGGACGACACCTGCCTCCCCTCCTCACCACTCTCCCGCCCGCCGTCCTCGCCACTCTCCCGACCCGCCTCCAGCTCCGACACGGAGTACTGGGGAGCATTAGGGGCAGGAGGAGGTGTAGGGGGGCGGGAGGACAGCAGGGAGATGGAGGGAGGCAGCAGCGCCAGCCGGAGGAGCAGCACCCCCTGCACAGAGTGTCGAGGGGAGTACAGAGGGAGGGCAGGAGGAGGAGTAGGAGGAGGAGGAGGAGGAGGAGGAGGAGGACACCTCCCTGTCCTGACTATCGAACCACCCAGTGACAGCTCAGTGGACATGAGTGACAGGTCAGCACGGCCAATCAGAGAGCTTCTAAACAGATCATTGTTAGATCAGTGTATGGGTGTACAGGGCATATTTGTGTCTATTCTATATATTGTCATATTTGTGTCTAGTTTTAGACAACAAAACCAACAGTTGGGTTTAGGCAACGATTCAATGATATAATTTATCATCTTTATCGTCTCTCTATGGAATCATATCGTGATGACGTCATATATCGAGATGATCATGATACACAATTACGTCGTTTAAATTGATAACAATGACATACTCAAAATTCTGAATTGATAAGAATTTCACTTTTGGAAACAGTGAAGTGAAATCTGAATATTAAGACAGTTTATTTTCATCATATCTGGAATCATTTTTTAAACTTTATTGTTCAAACCTTCAGGTCAGAGCGAGGCTCCATCGGACGCCTGGTGTACGAACAGGAGCCGTCAGGAGCCGAGCGAGGGGGAGGAGAGAGGGAGAGGAGGGGAGGAGGAGGAGGAGAGGAAGGAGAGAGCGAAGAGGATGAGCAACGAGGAGGAGGAGGAGGAGGAGGAGAAGGAAGCAGCGAAGCCGACTCTCCGCAGGGAACGATCAAACACAAACCCAACGGTCGCTCTGTGGCCACGGCGCAGGGACAGACCCGCAGCCCGGCCAACGTCCCCTTACCGATGCCTTCAGCTCGGGCCCTGCCCTCTCACCCGCTGCCTCACCCGCTCCCTCACCCACTCCAACACCCCCACACTCACCCACACCCCCACCCCCACCCGTCGCCCATCCCCCACCTGCCCACCATCCTCCACCACCACCCACAGTACAGCCAGCAGCAGGTCATGCACATGCACCACGTGCACGGCAGCGGCGGCGGCCCTTACATGCAGCACGCTCACAACTTTGCCCAGCACCACTACCACCACCTGCACCACCACCACCTCCCCCACGGCTACCCAGAACCCCCTTCTTCCCCGCTGCCCTCCCCGGTGCCGCCTCTCTCCCCTCTCCCGCCACCGCTCACGCCCTCGCCGCTGTCCTCCTCCTCCTCCTCGGCCCTCCAGAGCTTGGAGGCGCAGCAGCTGCAGCAGCAGCAGCAGCACCTCGCCCACCACCCCCACCTCCTCCTCCACCACCACCTGCTCTGTTCGGACGGAGACAACGAGAGCGTCAACTCCACAACCACCAACTCCAACGACGACACGACGGTCAACAACTGCAGCTCCGGCTCCTCGTCGCGCGACAGCCTGCGGGAGCCAATCGGCGGAGCGGTGCTGGGGAAACAGACCTATCAGAGGGAGAGCCGCCACAGCTGGGACTCTCCCGCCTTCAACAACGACGTGGTGCAGCGGCGGCAGTACCGCATCGGACTCAACCTGTTCAACAAGTACGTGTTGACCCCAAAACCCGCCGGCGGGATTGAAAAGCATGTTTTCTTTGAACAATCGCCTAAACTACACAGTTTATCACAGACAGAACACATCAAAGATGAACATCCTTGAACACACCATGTGTGACGAACGTTTCCATCAGAAACAGCAACCAAAACGAAGCCTTAAATTGTGATATTTCATCAATATTCTACGTGTCTCATTTAAAATTTAGAGTCATCTTCTCATAGACTTCTATACAACCAGAGGAGTCGCCCCCTGGTGGACATTAGAGAGAATGCAGCTTTAACACATGAAGCTTTGGTTTAGCAAATTATAAACAATCTCACTGTGCTGAACATACATCACTGCTGACTACCTTCTTACCCAGGCTCCTGTTTTGGAACTATACGGAAATCTGCAGTTGAAAGTCACTTGATAATTGTTTTCATGAATTGTTATAGTTTTGGTTTAGTGTAGTTTTATTTTGTTTCCATCCTGATTCCACTTCTGTTTGTCGTTTCTGGATTTTGTTAAACATCTTTTCAAGTTTTTTTTGTTTTGATACGTCAGACCACCTTCCGTCCTGCAAAACACATTTCCATGCGGTTATTATTGTACATTTCACTTCATCTTTACAGTCTGTTATGAAGTATTCGCTGCACTTTTTGCAATAATCTGTCACATTGTTAAAAAGATACAACCGTGTCACGATTAATCACCAAGCTGTTTCATTAATCAGTAAGCAGAATAGAAAAGCAGGTTGCTCAACAAATCTGTAGATTTCCATTGTAATGCTCCATTTCATTTGTTTTTTATTTATTTCAGATATAAGTGTGTGGTATCGCAGCGTTGAGTCCTCCTTAATATGTAAAACAGAGAAAACCAACACCCCCACGTTATGAAGCAAAAAGTTTTGAAATGATGAGCGCTTAACGATAAAATAAAGAAACAAGTGAGGAAATCTGACGTCAAATTTAAGAAAAACTAAGTGTGGTGTCTGGGCTGCAGGAAACCGGAGAAGGGGATCCAGTACCTGATCGAGAGGGGCTTCGCGTCGGACACACCGGTGGGCATCGCCAGGTTCATCCTGGAGAGGAAAGGACTGAGCCGGCAGATGATCGGAGAGTTCCTGGGCAGCCGGCAGCAGTTCAACAAGGACGTCCTGGAGTGAGTCCAACGCATCTAAACCACTTCCTTTTTGCTTTGTGTCGTTTTTTTATCCTGACTGTGCAAATGTTTAAAACTGAGATAATTTTCTGTTTTCAAGAAACACAACAAAATGACCTTTTGTGTATCAGTTACTCTCCGTTATTCTCTCATCTCTCAACCGTGCGAAGAATCAGAAACTGAAGAAAAGGCGTTATTGATGGAAGTCAATGGGTGACACTTTTTAACAATAGCAGAACTAATGTATATGACGACATCTGCTTTACAAACTCTCAAGTGTCATTCATCCAGTCGCAGAGCACCAACACAAACATATTGAAAGTATGTTGAGTTTGTGAAGTGAAGATGTCGGCCATATTGTTTTTATTCCTCCTGATGCACATTTTTTTTAAATGCACTACAGGAATGCACTATTGTTTTTGTTCTGTTTTATTTGTCGTGTTTGAAAATGTTTAATGAAAAATGGACGACAACTGCATTTCGCTGTGCATAATGACAATAAATTGTCCTTAAATCCTTGAATTTTCATTCAAAACTTGCTTTTTAAAACACTTTTACAAGAAACTGTTCATCCCAGAGTGTTTTAAATATGAACGTTTTAGTGAAGATGCATTTGTTTGTGAAGTAGTGAGCGTACGGCTCGATAAATGCGTTGTGGAAGAGTAAACGGATGTTTTGCTGTTGTTAAACTCGGCCCCCATTCACTTCCATTCATAAAAGTTTTTTGAATCTTTGCTCACCGTGGAGAGAAAGTCTCCTTCAAGAATTCAAGAGGTGAATGATTGATGGATACTTGGACCTGAATCAATGATCATTTTGTACGTGAAGTGTTTCATGTAGTAAAGCCAGTTGAAGTGTTCCTGTATGTATCAGCTGATCTCTTTCCTCTGCGTCGGTCTGCAGCTGTGTTCTGGATGAGATGGATTTCTCGGGGATGGATCTAGACGAGGCTCTGAGGAAGTTCCAGGCTCAGATTAAAGTTCAGGGTGAAGCTCAGCGGGTGGAGCGACTGGTGGAGGCCTTCAGGTACTGAACTGCTTCGTGGGTTTGAACCCCACAGAGGAACCAGCGAGTCCTGATGTTTCCTTCATCTCTCTCTCTCTCTCTCTCTCTCTCTCTCTCTCTCTCCAGTCAGCGGTACTGTGTTTGTAACCCGGTGCTGATCCGGCAGTTCCAGAATCCAGACACCATCTTCATCCTGGCCTTCGCCATCATCCTCCTCAACACGGACATGTACAGCCCCAACGTCAAGCCGGAGAGGAAGATGAAGCTGGAGGACTTTGTCAAGAACCTGCGGGGTCAGTCGGTGGTTCACCTCTTGTAATCAGTGCATTCAGGGGAAAGAAATAAAAAAACGAGAACGGCTGCTGGCTGTCAGCGAGAACTGGAGAAAGTAAAGTGGTAAAAATATAGTAAAACTCAAATTTACTGAACTTAACAAGCTTCATTTTGTTCTATTAATCTTCATCTTATTTAATTCATCAAATCGTTTATTATGTTATATTTGTAATCACTCTGTAGAGATAAAAATGTGAAAACTTTACTCGAACTTGAGAAAGTAAGTACTCTATTTACATACATGTGCGTACTTGTACTTACTTTCTACTTCTACTCCACTAAATGTCAGCGGTAAATATTCAACATTTTACTGCACTGTGTTGATTTGACAACTTTAGTTACTTTGCAAATTCAGATTATTAAAAATACATTTAAATTGACAGTTAGATTAAGACTTGTATGGATTAAGTTTGTATTGATCCCATGTTGAAACGCAAAGGCCACCTAGCAGGATATGTATTTATCAAATATATATATATATATATATTTGATATATCTTATTCTAAAAGTATATTTTGATGCCAATACTTGATGCAGGACGTTTACTTGTAACAGAGTATTTCTACACTGTGGTACTTTAAGTAGATAGTACTTCCTCCTGTACTAGAAACAAACCATGATTGTTGTTTTTATATGCTGGGATGACATAAAATGAGTCAGAGCTCCTTTAACTCGGTCGGATCTCCTCACTGAATATTCTGATTTCTGATGTCTCTGAACTGTCCACTCTGCTGCTGTAGTCCTGCAAATGTCCCCGCTGTGGGACTAATAAAGGATTATCTTAACTTAACTTATTCTATTCTATCTGACCTGATCTGAACCTGGACCCCGATCCCTGTGTGTTCCCTTCAGGTGTTGATAACGGTCAGGACATCCCCAGGGACCTTCTGGTTGCCATCTATGGAAGGATCCAGAAGTGGGAGCTGAGGACCAACGACGACCACGTGTCTCAGGTGCAGGCGGTGGAGAGGATGGTGGTCGGCAAGAAGCCGGTGAGATCTTTCAAACCGACGTCTGAGAGTCTGTGTGAAGTATTCAGATACAGTGATGTCCTCTAGTTACACACGGCTTTATTACAGGATAGCAAACCCTGATATTTAAAAAACATTGTTCAACAAATTCTCTGAGCCTGAACAAATGACTGCAGATCTTCTTGTTGCTGCACGATGAATTA